CTCTGAAAAGCAGTGGAAAAAATATCCTCCGGTGAGAATTAAAAAAAAAATTTAAAGAAATAATAAGTGTGTCGAGTGTCACTTTTATTTTATNTCTGAAAAGCAGTGGAAAAAATATCCTCCGGTGAGAATTAAAAAAAAAATTGAAAGAAATAATAAGTGTGTCGAGTGTCACTTTTATTTTATTTTATTTTAATTTATTTTTAAAAATATATCTTTATTGATTTCAGAGAGAGGGAAGGAGAGGGAGAGAGAGAGAGAAACATCAATGATGAAAAGGCCACAACCGGGGCATGTGCCCTGACCGGGAATCGAACCCCAATCGCCTGTATCCTAGGTCGATGCTCAACCACTGAGCCATGCCCGGCAGGCTCGAGTGTCACTTTTAAACCAAATGAGATTGTTAAATCTCTAGACTTTAAAAGAGTGTGCAGAGTCCCTGAATAAAGTGATTTCATAGCAGTTCTTTTCCTAAAATCTAACTAACAAAGGGTTGGAATGCATCTAATCTGAGGAGCTCATCTGTTTAAGGTGGCCTTTAGTTGTAGTTGCTAATGGAAAATAGAGTTTTAAAAAATTTGTTTCAAACATATCAAAACATTGTGTGGGGTTTTTTCTTCATTCCCAAATCAACTCCCTTTTTTGCCTTAGACCTTACTTTTATTCTTTTATATACGATGAAACAAGTTTCATGACCCAAAGCATTCTTTTTCAATGTCTCCTTTATTACTTATCCAAAATGGTACCAAGAAACGCGCAGCATTATGCATGCTGCTTGCAACCCTCTGTCAGAGGTATGACTATTTCTAATGTCTGAGATGTCCTGGGCTCCTGGGTGGAGTTCTCCAAGTGAAAAGGTAGCAACAGGGAAGGTTTGCTCACATCCCACAGCTACATTCCATGTGCACAACTCACTGACTGCGTCAGCGGGGACGGGCAATGGTGGGGAAGCCTGTTTGTAATTCTTCCTGAAGCAAAAGTGGTGGATTCTCAATGGCATTCAGTTATAACTCTTACATTGTTTGGGTCTCAAATCTTTGGAACAAGTTTAATGTGGACATCAAATCACAACTTCATTATCTTCTTTGCAGCTCTAAGGGGTAAGTCTCTTATTTTGTAGATGGCCTGGGAATTCAGATTTGGAAAACATCTGTCTGTAACTTAATTCATATATTATACCTTAAAATTGAAATGAATCCGGTATTTGTCATATTATTTATATTTTCTTAGGAAATCTGCCTAAAAGGCCAAGTTCATTTTTAAAGTAACAGGCATTCACATGTGACTTGAATCTAGACGTTTAATTTTTGTTTCTGCATTTACCTTAATTTGGAAAACATTTATAGCTAATAAAATTACGAAATTGTATCAGAAAGCTCTGTCGTTAATCTTAGTTGTTATATTTAAACTTCATTTCTCCTCCATTAAGCCCAGAATGGATTTGTTCATGAGGACATTTTTAGTACCAGTTAGATTTAAGTGTATTTTACAGTCCATTTGTGAAAAATGCAAATGAAGTGAGGTAATAACCAGATTGATATTTTTACTCTACTTTTTAATAGTATTAGTTTACAGCCTATTGACAATAATAAATGCTTCTTTCTCTTAACCTTGGATAATGGTTATTCTGATCAGATGTTAAGAATTTGTGTATTTTAATGGGTATACATATGCAGATATATAGACTATAAATAAAAAAAAGAATTTGTATGTTTTAAAAAGTGTAACACCCAGAAGTAATTTCTATTTATTTTAAATACGCCTTTAGTAAAAGTGATACTTTATAAACAGGCAAGTCAAAATTAAAATCAGCATTTGAAAGAAGAAAATTCAGATTATGTTAACATCTGAAAAGTTTCTTCTATGAATGAAGAAAATTTAAGGATTTTTCCCCTCTAAAAACAAAACTTATTTTTCAGGAATTTATTCTAGATTGCTTAATGCCTTTTGCCCTGATTACTAAATTCTAATTGAAGAAATTTCTTTTTTCCCCCAAGAGTTGAGTAAACAAAATAAAAATCTTTCATTTTTTAAGAAAAAAGTAATATGAATCTCAACCCAATTCTGAGTTTTAATTAACTTAGGTGCAAAAATTAGTGAGTTTTACTAGGATATTTTCTTTTAAAATTTATGCCGTGGAAGTGGGTAATATATTCTTTTTAAGAAAAACTTAGAATCATTGTTTTCTTTTTAAAACAGTTATAAAATATAAATGATGACATTTCTGATCTTAGTTCTTAGAAACAAAACTAAACTTGATTTACTTTTTGTCTTTAGAAAGAATGTAGCGAAACCTGACTTATGAAGTATGTGTTTCTTAAAATGAAGATGAATTATTGTTCCTGTTTATAATTTAGATAAACCAGGAAGGGAAGTTAATAAACTGAGTGAGCATGAACGATCCATCTCGCCATTACTTTTTGAAGATAGTCCTCCTGATCTGCAGCCCCCAGGAAATACCTCCCAAGTGAACAGTGAAGAACAAAATAATCCTCAAATACTTCAACACTCAGTTGTTTTTGGAACATCAGCCGAGGAAGTGGTAAAGGAAATTCGTTTCAGAATTGAGCAAAAAACAACACTGACAGCTAGTGCAGGTACTTAAACAGGATATTGGTGGCGACAATAGTTATAATTTTCGGACTTGCTAATTCAAATGTAGTATTAGTAGTTTCTCATTATAAAATATAGGATAATATTTTACTTACCCATTTTTTATTCAACTTCTAACAACCTAAGCTATTTAGAATGCCTGGAACCTATAGGTAAGTTGGAATTAATCCAAAAAGCCTTGGAGCCCAAAGAAAAAATCTCATGTAGCTTCCCTTTTTTTAAGCACAAAATATATTTTAATTATTTTTGGACATAGTCCTTTATTAGTTTTCCCTTGGAAGACTGCAGCCCTTCCAAGGCTACAGTGCAGGAGAGACCCCAGATGGCCACAAGGTAGTAGACAGAAGAATCACCAACTAGCAACATAACAATCTGGGACCATCCTGTGAAAGGGAAAAGAGCTTTACATATGTCAGTAACCCGTAGGGTAACACTGCTTAACACAGAGACTGATACTCATCATAATTACCCCACATTATCTTATAAAAGCCGTATTATGATGAGGTTAGTCTTTCCTTTCTATGACAAAGCATGAGAATAAGTAATAAAATTTAGGAAGATGTGTATAAACAATGAAATGAACTATTTAATGATTATATTAGTATATTCCCATTTCAGTTTACCTTAATCATTAAGGCTCCTAGAAATTATAAAACACCTTTCTTAAAAGTAGTAATTTACTCTGTAACATTAAAAGGATACATACATTTCATTACCATTGTTTTAAATATACTGTAATCTTTGATTTTTTTTTTTTTTTTAGTGTGTATAATCTATACAAATGACCTTTTCAAAGAGTAAACATACATTCTAATTTATACTCTGGATCATTTCTATAAGATAGCCCTATGTTTCTACTACAGATAGTAAGTAAATTAACAATGTTGCTTAAATAAACTCAGAAATCACTCTTAGACTTTAAAATACCATGGAGCTTTAAATAGTCCTCATTTTTGCTATGAAAATAACTAATACAATTCTTTTTCCTAAAACCATAGGAAGCCCTGGGGAGACAGATAGTAATCTGTTATTTTAATTAATTAATTAATTTATTTAACAAGGCATATAATTATGATTTATTGCTACTATCTGAATATGCTCTTTCGAACATAGATATGCATATTTTTATTTATTGAATTTATTGGGCTCACATTGGTTAATAAAATTATATAGGTTTCAAGTGTACAATTCTATAACACATCATCTGTATGTTGTATTGTGTGTTCCCCACTCAAAGTCAGATCTCTTTCCATCAAAATTGATCCCCCTTTACCCTCCTCTACCTCCTCCCACCCCCCTTTCCCTCTGTAATCCCCATGCTGTTGTCTATGACAATGAGGGTGTTTTTCTTTTTTTGCTTAATCCCTTTACTTTTTCCGCCCACTGTTATTTTTAAAGTAGCATTTCACATCATTTCAGATTTTTTGCACTTAACATTTTATTTTTCTATATTGTCATCACCTGTATTTTAAAATCATACATATAAAAAGTCTTTGAGTCATCAGAGTGTTTTTTTTTTTTTTAAGGCATTGCCCCAAATACAATGTTAGCAAAAATATGCAGTGATAAGAATAAGCCAAATGGACAGTTCCAGATTCTCCCCAGCAGACAAGCCGTGTTGGACTTCATCAAGGACTTACCCATTAGAAAGGTGAGATCTTCTATGAAATGTATCACCTATATATATATACTCTGGGTTCTGAAGAGATACTGTTCAGGATGATAACAATTGTTAGCTGAAAAGTTTTAAAACAGTAGGTAACAAGCAAGAACTCTCATGGATGATTGAATTTAGATTTGATGAAATCTTTCTATTAAACCCTTAAGGTGAGGTTTAGGAATCTTTTTGCTGAAAAGTTTTTTGTCTTTTTAAAAAATATGTCTTTATTGATTTCAGAGAGAGGAAGGGAGAGGGAGGGAGAGAAAGAGATAGAAATATCAATGATGAGTCATTGGTCCACTGCCTCCTGCACGCCCCCCGGTGGGAATCGAGCCCGCAACCCGGGCATGTGCCCTGACTGGGAATCGAGCCTCGATCCCCTGGATCCTAGGTCGATGCTCAACCGCCGAGCCATGCCTGCTGGGCTGCTGAAAAGTTTTAAGAAAGTAGATGACAGACTTTTAAGTGTACCCCTGCCAAGGGGAAGAAGAAAAAGAATACTGATGAAAGTCCTTTCAGCTGTAACCCAGTGTACAACCTTAGTTCTGAAGCACTGATTGTTGCCTGATTAATAATAGTGTGATACTTCAAAGAGATTTAGAACTTTGTTTTGACAAAAAATAAATCAAAATACTTTATCATCTTTAAAATGGTAAAGTGATCCCTTAGGAGTTATAGGAAGGAGGGTATATTTTATTATTTTTTAAAGCTTCTAGATTTTCCTGCATATATATGCTTTTTAAGCAATAGTTGCACTATATACTATTTGATGTTCTATCTAGGACTTGCTTTTCTCATTCAACATAATGTATATAAGTAAATTTAAATAAAGTATTTCTCAGTGCTCAGAAGGAAGGCTATATCAAAATATATTATGTATAATGATTACAGAATAGCTTAGTATGTAAGGTGTAGCTATAAAGCAGTGTTTTCCATTGTTTTTTAAGTTATGAATAGGTGTTCTATAAAAAAGGTTCTGGGGTCAAATAACTTTGGAATCTTCCACCCTTGTGAGTCACAAAGGTCCTGGTATATTAAAGACTAAAAGTTCAACTTAGATTTGTATATCCCACCTTTCCCCAAGTTTGACCACAGAACTTTTCTTTTTTAATGCTTTTAAAATTTTCGTGAAACTTTACATTTAAGTTTTTCATGGGACACTAGTGTAGGAAATGTGGCCAAAAATAAATTAAAGCAGTTTTTTTATGAAGATAGTCACATCATTCATGCCTTTTATTGATTATAAAAGGTATCATGTGATTATAATATCAGTTCTTACCTTAACTTAAAAATGTATTAATAATAAATATTGATTCTCTTCTAGGTTTCTGGAATAGGAAAAGTTACAGAAAAGATGTTAAAGGCCCTTGGAATTATTACTTGTACAGAACTCTACCAACAGAGGGCATTACTTTCTCTTCTTTTCTCTGAAACATCTTGGCATTATTTCCTTCATATTTCTATGGGTTTAGGTTCAACGCACCTGACAAGGTATCCACATGTATATTCATTCTGCTTTTTCTTTTTTTTTTACTTTATTTTTTTTGTTGACACTATTACAGATGTCCCCATTCCCCCTCCCTCGTCTGCCTCCAACCCCCCTTCCCTCTGGCCATCACCACAGTTGTCTATGTCTATGGGTCATTTTGCCTTTTCTCTATTCATTTGCTGAAATAAGTTCTAACCATTAAAGTGGAGCCTATAAGGATAACATGTTTTAAAATTATTTTGGACTGGTTCAATTTGGAATATAATCTTTAAATTAGAGTCAAAAGATTCAATGTGGGAGAAAAAGAAAAGAGGAATAAAGAATCACTCCTCAGTTGTAGCCACGGCCATTGGACAGATGAACAAGAGGAATGATGGGCACTTCCTGTTCTGCACCTGCCCATACTCTGTTCAGAATATAAGAATACTAGCACGCTGGTGGTCAGATGTTTGAGAAAAGCAAGACGGCTCATATTCCAGAATTCACCCTTTCAGCAAGGAGGTTTAATAATTCTTTAAAAGCCTTCAAACTATATTTATATATTATATATATTAAGCATGCATATGTGTGTATGTGTGTATACACACACATACACATATATATATATTCCTTCTGCCCCCAAACTGTAAATGATTCATTCAGTACTGAGTACTTTGTGTTAGGCTATGTTCTAGGCCCTGGGGATAACAGCAGTAAGCAAACCCTGCCTTCCTGGAGATTACAGACTAGTGTGGAAGATAGAAGGTAACCAAATAAACAAATGAGGAAAGTGAGGCAGAGTGAGGACATAAAAAATGACTTGGGATTGGGGGGTAAGAGTCAGGGTGGCCACCATCATCCAGAGGCAGAGACCTAAAGGGGCCAGCCATGGAAAGATCTGGAAGAGGAACAGCTAGGGAGAGGCCCTGTGTTTTCTTTCTTGTCACTCTTTCATCTAGGTCTTAAAAAGAGGCCTAGAGCTAGAAGGGTACACTTTTGAGGGTGGGTGAAAGGAAAGAATAATAATTAAAAAAAAGAATGGGAATGAACACAGCACTATTCTTACAATTTTGTCATCATTCTGTCAACCTGCCTTCAGAGTAGCTCCTTTATATTCTTTTTTTTAAAAATATATCTTTATTGATTTCAGAGAGAGGAATGGAGAGAGAGAGAGAAACATCAATGACAAAAGAGTCATTGATCGGCCCCTCCCGAACACCCCCTACTGGGGATCAAGCCCGCAACCCAAGCATGTGCCCTGACCCGGAATCGAACCGTGATCTCCCGGTTCATAGGCCAGTGCTCAACCACTGAGCCACGCCAGCCAGGCTTCCTTTACATTCTTATACTCAGACTGAAGGAGAACAGGAAGGTTACTGAGGGGCATAGAAAATAAGTTTGATAAACCAATTAAACATGCTACATCTTACAGAGCTTGTAAGACTATTCTTGTCTCTCTGTTCTTAATCATGACTCCACAGTTACTGGCATTGATTTTGAGTGGAAATAATGAAAAATAAGAAAAAGACATCACAGTACTATAAATAATCTAATATTTTGAAGATAATGGGAAATAAAGCTTTCTCCTTTAATCCAAAAATTAACCTTTTTTTATTTCCATAGTGCTTGAACACAAGAGCTCTTGGTAAAACATAGCACATACTAAGGGGGTATTTAGGGACGCAGGTAATATCTGAAGTACTTCTCCCCTTCTAACATATTCCATGTTTACTTTTTATTTGTTTATTTGTCTTTCTCCACTAAGATACAAGTTTCTTAAGGGCAGGCACTTGGTCTGTTTTGTTCATAACTATATCCCCAAGGCCTAGAACAGTGTTCCATTTATAATAGGTTCATTAAATCTTTGGAAAATGGATAACCTAAGTGTCATTTCAGCCTTTTGGTGTCTTGTACTATCAGAGCAGGTAGAATCCAAGCAAACTAGATATTTTAGATTTCCAGTCTTCATCCGTTGCTGTGTGCCAAATTCTGACTGAGGTTCTATGGAGTGGTATAAATGAATAATGAATAGGCTATAGGAGAGAGAAGTTAATGTACTAAGCCCAAAACTAGATCATTGATACTAAATTATTTAAAATTTAGTTATATCCTGTAACTGCGAGCCGTTACACTACCACCTGCTATTGGTTTTTCTAAGTTGTGGTTTTGCTATTCAGGCTTTTAACAGAAGCAGTTTATAATATCAACCTATTTTAAATTTGTTCTCTTCTATAGATACAGACTTGATCCATGGCACGTGTAATCATAATAGCATCTTATCTATCTACATTATTTGGGTGATAGTTTTACTTTTAGATCTTAAGAACTCACTGTTTTTCGTGATGTATAAATTTGATATGTTAAATGCTCTTGGTTGACTAGAAGAAACTCAGTCTTTGAGAAAACAAATAAAAACTTTTTTTTCTTCATTTCAAGGGATGGAGAGAGGAAAAGCATGAGTGTTGAGAGGTAATATTTTGGTATTATTAATTGTTCATAATTTATGCTACTTAAAACAAATTTTTAATTTTTAGGAAAGTACACTGAAATTTTAAAAATCTATTTTCAAACCACAGAACAATTCTCAGCATGCCACACTCCTGAAGTAAATATCCCAATACAGTGCTTTATTATCCTCACTTGCTGTGCTCTCAGTGGGGGGAAAAATGCATATGTACTGCAGTTATTTTTTTTAACGTTGGTTTTGTTCCTGTTCAGTGAAAACCAAGCATTTTGGGATTCTAGATCCTAATTCTCTAGACTTTATAAGAAAAATTATGCTGTGATGTAATGTACTCAGTTCAGAGGATTAGGATTTGGCTATCTTTGGGGACCCTTATTTTGCCTACCCACTGGGGGCAAGCAATTTGGCATTACCTATCAAAATTACAGATACACATGTACTTAATTCCCACAGTTCTTGTCCTAGGAATTCATTCCACAATTGTAATTGCATGTCATTGTCAAATAAACATTGCTTATTTGTTCATATGTGCATAAAATATTTCTGGAGGAATTCATAAGAATAGGAAGCTGGTAACTTTGGTTCTCTACAAGTGGGAACTGGGTAACTGGGTACTTAGGAGGGGAAGTCTGAATAGTCATTTGCATGTGATTTATTACTCATTACTCTGATTTCTCTGTAGTATCCTCTTTTATGTTACTGGACCTTTCAACTTCTTTTAACACTTTTGTGATGAATTAGAAATTTCTACATTTAATCTTATCAGCCCTCCATTTTCAGTTGTTTATTAGATAACTATGCCTTGGTCCCATTAAACAACCCCTTAAATCTACTTGAAGATATTTCTCCTTCAGAAAATAGATGTACAAAAATTAGAATGATGTTCTCATCTTTCTTAAGATAATCCTTTTTAGCATAGTCTGTATACACATATGTCTTAATGTGTTTCAAGTTTTTGAGGGAATTATCATTATCTGTTGGTGGCTTTAATCATCTTTTTAAAAATATTATAGAGAGAGCAAAAGTATAAAAGTACACTTTTACTGTCCCGACTGGGTGGCTCAGTTGGTTAAGAGCGTCATTCTGTACACCAAAAAGTTGCAGGTTCGATTCCCAGTCAGGGCACATACCTAGGTTTGGGTTTGATCCCTGGATGGGGCGCTTATGGGAGGCAATGGATACATTTCTCTCTCTCTCCCTTCTTCCCTCCCTCCCTTTCTATCTCTCTAAAATCAATAAAAACATATCCTCAGATGAGGATTTTTTTAAAAGTACACCTTTGCTAATCAGCTTAACTATCTAAATGATATTTAATTATTAAGTAGATCTTAAATCTTTTTACTTAATTATATCTTACTTTATCTAAAGACTTTATCCTGTACTGCAGAAAATATAACTTAATGCTAAGTCATATAAACATACTATATCATTCCTAAATTATCCTGAGTTATATTTTACTTTGTGCACCAAAGTCATTCTTGTCTTTCTAGGACATTCAGTGAGATAAGTAAAGCAGAAGAACAGTACAGCTTGTGCCAGGAACTTTGCAGTGAACTTGCTCAAGATCTGCAGAAAAAAGGACTTAAGGTACTTTATTTTAATGTGGTGTTCTTAGTTTTAAAATCTTATAATAATAAAATGCACTTTAACACAAGAAGTATTTGAATACAAAGTGAGAAATGTCAGATAAGAGTATTCTCATCACCAGCGAAGAAATTTGATTCTGACCCTTATTTGAGGCCTATGATGAGGCCATTCTGTGAAGCAGCAACTTGCAGGGTAGAGTGGCTCCAGTCTAATTGCAGGGGAGTTCACACTTCCCTCAGAGAACACTTGGATAAGCTCACAATCAGTTACACTGGCATTGGAGAATAAAGCAGAGGGGGCAAGGAGTTTCCTAGAGTTGCATTTACATATTAAAAGTGCCTTTCCAATCATGCTTCAGTGTTTTCTCCTGTAGATAGTGACTTTCTAGAGTAAGCATTTTGTTTCAAGGCTCTACTGCAGGTTGTTTAACACATTGAGAACAGAATCTGGAAGGCTTTGAACTTTGTGTTTTATGATCTTCACTCACAACAATCCATATTTAATGCTTTTTCAATACTCTCAAACCAGAGTTATTTAGAATTGCAAAATGCAATGGTGATTACCAGAGGGAAAGGGGGGTGGGGGAGGTAGGAGAGGATAAAGGGGGGATAAAAGGCGATGGAAGGAGACTGGACTTGGGGTGGTGAACACACAATGCAATATACAGATGATGTGTTATGGAATTATACACCTGAAACCTATATAACTTTATTATCCAGTGTCACCCCAATAAATGCAATAAAAAAATTTTAAGTATTAAAAAATTATTACAAAGAATGGGATAATAGATGAGTATTTTTCTTATAATTTTTCTCTATCAGACCTTAATTGTAAAAGAGTTGTCTTTTTAAATGATTAAATATATATTTTTTAATCCTCACCCGAAGATGTTTTTTATTGATTTAAGAGAGGAATGAGGGAGAGAGAGAGAAAAACATCCATCAGTCGCTTCCCGTACACGCCCTGAGTGGGAATCAAACCCATAACCTAGGTATGTGCCTTGACCAAGAATTGAACCCTCAGCATTTTGGTGTACGGGACAACCCTTCAACCAACTGAACCACCTGTCCAGGGCCATTAAATAAACTCAATTTTAGAATCATTTTAGATTTACAGAAAAATTGCCAAGATACTATAGAGAGTTCCAGTATGCCCAGTTTCCCTGATTATTAATGTCTTCTATTGCCACAGTCTATTTGTCAAAACTAAGAAACTGACATTAGCACATTATTATTAACTAAACTCCAGACTTTATTTGGATTTTACCTATTTTTCCATTAATGTTCTCTTTCTGTTCCAGGATTCAGTGCAGGAAACCACACTGCATTTAGTTTTCATGTCTTCTCCAGTCTCTAGTTTATGACAGTTTCTAGTATTTCCTTGTTTTTCATGACCTTGATAGTCTTGAGGAATACTGGTCAGATATCCTGCAGAATGTCTCCCAACATGGGTTTTCTAGAGGTTTTCATTAGGTTATACCACGGTTATGAGTTTTAGAAAGAATACCCCAGAGGTGAAGTGTCCTTCTCTTCACATCCTATGAGGTACAGTAGTCCCCCCTTATCTGAGATCTCACTTTCCAGTTTCAGTTACCCACAATCTGAAAATATTAAATGGAAAATTCTTGAAGTTAAAGAAATCATAAGTTTTAAATTGTACATCTTTCTTAGTAGCATAATGAAATCTCACGCTGTCCTGCTCCAGCCTGCTCGGGATGTGAATTATCCCTTTGTCCAGCGCATCCATGCTCTATAACTTAATAGCTGTCTTAGTTATCAGATCAGTTTCAGAGAGAGAGAGAAAGACCACATTCACATAACTTTTATTACAGTATATTGTTATAATTGCCCTATTTTGTTATTTGTTATGTTGTTAATCTTTTACTGTGCCTAATTTATAAAAAGTATGTATGTATAGGAAAAAACATAGTATATATAGATAGGGTTTGGGACTATCTGCAGGTTTAGGCATCCACTGGGGGTGTTGGAGCGTATCCCCGCAGATAAGGGGGAGCTACTCTGTATGATGCCACATGATGTCAAGGTTGATGTTAACCTTCATCACTTGTTTAAGGTAGTATTTGCTAAGTTTCTCCATTGTGAATTTACTGTTTTTCCCTTTCCATTCTCTATTCCTTGGAAGTGAGTCAATAAATCTAATCCACTCTCACTACCTCTGGAGGTACTAAAATATATGTAACATAAAATTTACTCTTTTAACCATTTTTAAGTGTACATTTTAGTGGCACTGAGTACATTCATACTGTGTAACCATCAACACTGTCAGTCTCCAGAACTTTTTCATTATCCCAAACTCTGTACCCATTAAACAGTAACTGTAAAGGGAGTTCTTACATGCAAATTGTTTAGTATAGTATCTGTTGTATAGTAGGCACACAACAAGTGTGAGCTTTTCACTGAGGTTCCTTTAGAAAGATTTTGTTCCCTTCCTTTTTAGGTACTGAATTGACCTCTAGAAGAGGTTCATGAAAAAGAAAAATGATTAAATTTGCCCTTTATATAAAAGTCCTTTATAAAAGTTCATTTGAGGAGTAGGGTAATAATTATTGGCTAAAATGGGATTTTTTGATTACTCTTGGATTCAGATTATTCTTTATGACAATTTTATTACTATGTTTTAGAAATAATTGATTATACTTTCATATTATATGTACATAAGAGAGCTTTATGAGCTTTTCTAACCTGTAAAATAACTTTTTTTCTAGAAGTTAGCAAGCCACATATAATAGTGTATTCTGTTTTTTACAGGGTAGAACTGTTACCATTAAGCTGAAAAATGTGAATTTTGAAGTGAAAACTCGTGCGTCTACAGTTTTATCTGTTGTGTCTACTGCAGAGGAAATATTTGCTATTGCAAAAGAATTGCTAAGAACAGAAATTGATGCTGATTTTCCACATCCCTTGAGATTAAGACTTATGGGTATGACTTTTCTCTCTTTTCCTTAAATCTACTAGACTTTCCCAAAGAATCAATTTTGGAAATATTCTCACCTCCAATTTATTTCTTAAAACTATTTAGGGATTTGTACTTACGCTGCTGCCATTTTTCTTAATTTTTAGAACCTGATGCATGTGAAGCTATGATTATTAGTTGAATTCCAGTTAGAACCAATTAAAGTTGTTCTTTTCCTTACAAATACTGAAATCCTTGGTTTGTTTCAAAATTTTAAGCTTTTCAGTTTTTAGAAAGCATACCGAGTATATTTTGTAATACTTCTTTGAGATCTGAGGAAGCACTTCATGATCAAACACATTAATATTTCTGTAGCACAACAAAAAAATATTCACATTGAGTTATAAAAATTCTAAAGAGCTTCCTGTCAATTCAGCTATCAATGATCATATGTTGCTTACAATTATCAGGGCTTTTTGGATTTCAGAATTACAGATGAGGGACTATGGTGCTATAAAACCACATCTTGAGCCACTACATGATAAAAAACAACAACACACCAAACAAACCATGTTTCTAAAGTGAACTGGGTAAGAGAACGTTTATGGATAAGTACCCCAAATGCCAACTTAGTATACTACTAAGAGTGGGTCATTAGCCATACTTTGATATATGAAAGACAGCACACACTGAGATCAATTGAATAATGTTAACTAAAAAGAACTAAAGAATAGACGTTAATAGCAGCTTTATTCATAATTACTACAACTGGAAGCAGCCAAAATGTCCCTCAGAAGTTCAATGGAGACTGTGGTACATCCAGACAACAGAATATATTTAGCCGTAAAAGAAATGAGCTACCAAACCATGAAAAGACATGGAGGAACCTTAAGTGTATATTATTAACTGAAAGAAACCAATTTGAAAAACCTACATACTATATTATTCCAACCATATAACATTCTGGAAAAGATATGGAGACACTAAAAATATCAGTAGTTAACAAGGGTTGGTGGGGAGGGAAGAATGAAAAGGCAGAACACAGAGGATTTTTAGGGCAGTGAAACTCTTCCGTATGATGCTATAAAGGTAGACACATATCATTATACATTTGTCAAAACCTATAGAATGTATACCACCCAAAGTGAATCCTAACATAAACTGTGGACTTTGAGTGATAATGTGTCAGTATCAGTTCATTGGTTATAACACATGTACCAATCTGGTGGGGGATGTTGATAGTGGAGGAGGCTGTATATGTGCGGGGGCAGGAGATACATGGGAACTCTGTACTTATTGCTTAATTTTGCTGCCAACCTAAAATTGCTCTAAAAGATAAAACCTATTGGGGGAAAAAGGAGCTAAAGTATATATGTATTTGACTCCAGTTAGTTACTTGGTATTTATTAAATGGTATCATGTGTCAAGATATTATTTGAAAGACCTATATAATCATGCTAACTTCAATAGATACTTATTAGTGATACCCATTTTATTAAGGAAAGTATAAATTTTAACTCAAAATACCAGCTTTGGAAAAGCATCCTTTAATTCAGAAAATATACAGGGTTGTTTATTTTTCTCGAAACAGCCTTTTTTATATATGTCACAACAGTATTTGCAAAATGTTCTTATGAATTATGAGTGAATTGGCTTTGTTGAATTTGAAACTGATTAACTGTGGTTGGTTTAATTTAGGTGTGCGGCTATCTAGTTTTCCAAATGAAGAAGATAAGAAACACCAACAGCAGAGTATAGTTGGTTTCTTACAGCCTGGAAACCAAACCCTGTCAGCCACTGGGTGTATAGAGGAAACTGACAAAGGTCAGTTTTTAAAACCTGTAGAAATGTCTCATAAGAAGAGTTTCTTTGATAAAAAACGATCGGAAAGGAAATGGAGCCACCAAGACACATTGAAACGTGAAACTGTGACTAGACAAGGTGTACAGACATCACAACCTTTCCAAGTTTTAAAGAAGATGAGTGAGAATTCAGAAACATCAGAGAATTCAGACAACGATCAGATATTTACCTGTCCTGTTTGCTTTAGGGAGCAAGGAAGCATCAGTCTGGAAGCCTTTAATAAGCATGTAGATGCATGTCTTCATGGATCTTCGATGAGTGAAATGTTCTCCCGTTCACATGCTTCCTCTACAGAAGTTAACAAGAAAGAAAATGTACATTGTTCTTTTTCCCTCTGTGAGAAGCAGGATTATGAAGCCCATCAGAATACAGAAATCACTTCAGTAGATTGTGTCCAGTTGGTAGAGACTACAGGTAATCCATCTAAAGCAGAAAGTGTAGGTGCTTTAAGTAATAAGCACAGCAAAGAGGACTGTTCTAGTCTTCCAGGCACATCGTTTAATATTGAACACCATGATCAGAATAATTCTTGTACTGTTTCATTGGAAAATGAAGATGCTGGGTCACTGAGAAGGCAAGAACCCCTCCAACCTTATTCATATGAAGTGCTAACAGACCAGGCCCTAATTTGTCCTGTTTGTAACCTAGAACAGAAGACTTCAGATCTTACCCTGTTCAATGTGCATGTGGATATTTGCTTGAATAAAGGCATTATCCAGGAACTGAAAACAGATAAAGTTAATCCAGTAAGCCAACACAAAGAAAGCACCAAAAGTACTGGTAAGTTTGCAGTCATTTTAAAGATCTTGATTTTCTAGGAATATTTTGTTAAAATTGAGATCATTGTTAAACCTTCAACACATACTATTAAAGGGATAGTTTGTGTGTGCTGCCATTTAGGTGAATGTTAGTTACCTTATTATAAGTTAGAATGAACTGAAACCATTAGATTTTAAATTTGGGCAAAACTTTGGTTTGGGCTTGATTTAGTACAGAATGAACTCAAAGGCTTAGGGAACTGAGTGATGTAATCAGAAAGGAAATATTCCTTCAGAGAACATTTGTCAAAGCACAGTGGTAAATTAACGATAATTACATAACCAGAAAGCCTCTTTAACTTGTTTTTTGGTAGTTCTGACTCTGGCCGATTTTCAAAAATAAAATTAAGTGTAATACTAATTGAATAATTATAAATAAATTATGCTATAAAGTTAGCTTCTGGCATGTATAAATATAAAGTATGTAGTGCTAAGGAACTTTTTATTATCTTTATATTAGTCAGCTTTAACTTTTTAAAGTTTTATACAACCTTTAAGAATTTGTTATTATTCATTGTGGAATTTCTTCATTTTTCTTCCCCCTAAAGGTAACTCAGACAGAGTACAGAAGACCATAACAAAAAACAAAAGGTATGGTTAATTTGAGCTTTAATAAAGCTAGCTATAAAACTCATATTTTGAGGTTGAATTTTTAGATGTTAAGATTTGCTTTTATATCAAGTAAAATTTTTAAAAATCAATTATTTGCAAAATTATTTTTAAAAATCTCTTCCTACATTTTAATTGTTTTTTTTTTAATTCCAGGTCAGGATCGATGGCAAAGTACTCAGCATCAAAGAAAATAAAACCAAACAATCCCAGAAATACTCTTGATATATTTTTTAAATGAACATTGAACATTCTATCATTAATTTTTAATTGAAACTTATTTTTATAATGACTGAAGCTATTCTTCCTATTTTAAGTTTACAGATTCATTTAGTGAAAGGCCAATGCAGTGATCTTTCCCCAGTGATTTGTCCCTTACATGAATTTGGAACATATGCTGATTTACTTCTGCATACCTTTTTGATACCATAAGAATTGCACTTCCTGTTAGAGATATTTTTAAAATGAGAAATTAAGAATGGGGTGAAAAAGTGATTTTTTTTTTATTAAGTTTTATAGCGAATATAAAACCACATATTTATAAGGCCTCTCAGAGGTTCATAGAAACCCTTTTTAGCATAAGAACTTTATCCAGAACTTAACCATTTGGCTGGCACTGGTCTGCTATACTTGATCTTAGTACCTTCTACAGTTTTGTATGTTCGTATTTTGGCTCCTGGTACCTTCATGAGCATTCATAATTAATATTTATCATGATTCTATGAAGAATATTAGCTTAGCAGAACTAGCATGAGTGGTTCTGTCCCTTTCAGGATAATAATATCACAGTTCTGTTTTATGTGTTAAAAGAATTTTGCTTAAATATGATTATTTATTTTTTTAATTTAAAATTTCTTCTTAAGAATAAGCACTTGGTCCACTTTAAAAAATTTTTGTGTAAGATATAAAGTAATTATTTTCTTATCTAGGACTTTAAATGGCAGTATTTCATTTCTTGGCAGTTACGTTTTGTATTCTACACAAATCTATAAGGAATAAATTGTACACTCACTTTATTTTTATATAACCACTTAGAGAAAAATGTGTAATTTAAAAGATTAATGTGTATTACAGTGTATATTATCTTGTTTTCTATCTTGTCTTAGTTATATTTCTTAGTTATATTTACACATTTATCTTAGTTATATTTGTCATGTTTTTATTAATATTTATGAAAGAAGGCGGCTTAACAGTAGGTAGGTAGGTTAAGTAGTTGCTCCACATAATTCTGTACTATCAGTATGAGTTTTTATCAGAAGCAGCGATTTAATTGAAACATGAAGATGGTAGTCATTTTGCAACTGCTTTAAAGAACCAACTCTTTGTTCTCTTACATTTTTGTCTTTTTTTTTTAAATTGAATTTAGAGAGAGGAAAAAAACATCGATTTATTGTTCCACCCATTTACACATTCATTGGTTGCTGCTTCTTTTTTTTTAATAAGGAATCTGGCAGTTTTTATTTTATTATTATTTTTTAATCCTCACTTGAGGATACTTTTTCCATTGCTTGAGAGAGAGTGGGAGGGGGAGAGAGAGAGAGAAAGAAAAACATCGATGTGTCACACTGATTGGTTGCCTCTAGCACATGCCTGACCAGGGATGGGGATTGAGCCTGCAGCTGAGGTCCATGCCCCTGGCCTGAATCAAACTTGGGACCCTTCAGTCCATGGGCCGATGCTCTAACAACTAAGCAAAACTGGCCAGGGCGTTTGGTTATGTCTTGTATGTGTTCTGATCAAGGATCGAACCCACAACCTTGTCATATTGGGATAAAGCTCTAACCAATAGGGCTATTTTTGTTTTCTTTTTTCCTACCTTTTTTTTTTTGAATTGACATACAACATTAGTTGCAGGTTATAACAATGATTTAATATTTGTATACCTACTTTTCATCTAAATTTACCTCACTTAAATTTACAAGGAAGTAATGTTAGGAATAGCTTAAATTAGGATCTTGCACAGCCTTTGGCTAAAGTGGCAACTTGATTTTTAAATTACTAGGTTGTTTAAAATTAGGCTGTTTATTAGCATGCCAATCTCATGTCTATTATTATTATATGCTAAGGTGAAAACAAGAGTTTTTGTGCTATGGTTCTTGATTGTGTGATTTACTTATGTAAATTATGTGAAAAATTAAGTTCCATGAAACATTGATTTAATGTACTGGAAAGTAGATAGCGCCGTATTTGTTTTCTATCTTGTCTCAAGTTTATTTTTATTGTTTTCAACATTAAATACTAAATTATTTCACTTAGATGATTTATTTAATTGAATGTTATTTAGTCATACAGTACTTAATAATTCAAAATAAAATTTAAAATATTTAGTTGATCTTTTAGTCAACAGAGCTGATTTCCTCCCTTCCCGCCCTTTTTCTATCTCAGTGCTTTTACTCTTATTTTCTTTGCCCAGAATTCTCTTCACATCCTTTTCTATCTGTTTTATCTAATATATCCAACTCATTTTCTTTTCTTTTTATTATAATTTTCCTTTGGGCCATTTTTAGAAAATACAGCAAAGCTACAAAGAATAAGCACCTATAATCGTACCTAATTATAGGGTCAGAATATAAGGAAGTGCTTGGGAGAACATATTGTAACACAGTAACTGGGAAGAAAACTAGTACCCAGAGTATATAATCCAGAGTATATAAATGACTTCAATGAATCAGTGAGAAAAAGATAGCTAATAGAAATTTGGATAAAAGACTTTAAGTGGCACTTGACATAAAAAAAAATTGAAATGGTCAAGAAACATGAAAACATTCTCAGCCATTTTAGTAACAGGGAAATGAAAAGTAAAAACGCAAAGAGATATCATTACATTCCTACCAGATTCACAAAAATGAGAGGGTCCCTTGTTCTGGTCATGATGTGGAGCAACGTGAACTCTTTGAAAACAACAATCACTTTGGAAAACAGTTTGCCCTTCTTTAGTAAGTTTGAAGAGGTACACACTCAACAACCCAGCCACGGCACTCCTAAATATACACCTTTCCTGGTGGTTTTCTGTGTCGTTCAGATCACTCTTTGTCCTTCAGTACTCTGCTTTCCGTCCAGCAAGATGCCATGGCAATGGAGGAGCCACTGCAGAAGATTTGAGGGAAGAAGAAAGATGAAGTTGGGTATTTATTCCTTCATGTACCTTTTTGTTAAGTCCCTTGACCAAAGATCACAGCTTCTTGTGGGTGGCCTTCTTCACACTGCGTTCTCTGCTCCGTCTCCAGGTTCTGCTCATCCTTCCTCATCTCTGCAGCCCAGAGCAGCAACAGAGCCTTGCTCCTAGTAGCCCTGGGGTGCTGCATTATCCTTTATGGTTTTCCCCATACCCTGCCTGCACCTACATAGATGGTCCCTTTCTTAAACTCATCTCAAATTATATTTTTTCTGCCAGAACTGTAACTAATACATTGCCTTGGGAAAACTCTTGAACGTGTTCCCTAGGAAGCATGTATAAGAATGCTCACGGCAACACGGTAGTAGCCAAGAATTGGAAATAAACCAGATACTCAGCAGTGGTGGAATGGTTATTCTATCATTGTATATTTAACCAATAGAATTCTACACGGTGAAAATGAAGGCTATATAGCTAACCAGAATGTGGATGAGTAGCACAGAAAATGTGGAGCAAAAGAAGCAAGTCATAGAAGGATGCCATCAGCATGATTCCATTTATATAAAGTTCAAAACAGTTAAAGCTAAACTATATTGTTTTAAAGGTGTATCCATATGAGATCAAATTATTTTAAAAAGCAAGTGTGTCCAGCCAGCATGGTCAGTGGTTGAGCATCGACCTATGATCCAGGAGATCGCAGTTCAATTCCCGGTCAGGGCACAGGCCCGGGTTGCCGGCTTGATCCCCAGCAGAGGGTGTGCAGGAGGCAGCCCATCAATGACTCATCATTGATATTTCTATCTATCCCTCCCCCCTCCTCTCTCTGAAGTCAATAAAAATATTTAAAAATAAAAAGCAAGTGTGGTGTTGTCCCAGTGGTTAGAATAATGATTTCTTCTGAGGGAAGGTAGTGGAATGTGACCAGGCAATGGTACATAGAGCTTCTGAGATGCTGGCAATGTTCTGCCTCTTATCTTGGGTGGTGATTGCATGGATGTTCACTTTAAAATATTCTTTAAGCTGTACAAATATATTTTATACACTCTTGTTCATAGGTGACCTATATCATAACAAAAAGTAAAAAAAAAAAAAAAGGAGAAACTGCTTTGCTTAGCAAGATATTTTTCTCTATCTCTGCAGGCTACTACTAGCTTCACAGAGAAAAAAGTACATTTCTCTCTTCTAGGGCTTTGCTGAACCCAGCAAGAGCCATCCCACACCAACATTTTGTTTTTCTCCTAGTACTCTCCCAAATGCTACAGTGTCAATCAGCATTTGTTCTTCCTTCCAAAGGACATCGGTTGACAATTTGACCAAATGCTTTTCACCACCAAATAAGTCACCAGCTTTTCAGCCAGTGATATTTGTGGCCCCATTCCCCAAAGTCCTCTCTCAAACACTAAGCCAATTCTGCACATTAGGTTTTGTTATTTGCCTCACCCTACTTTCTGTATGAGTTCAGAATCTCACTTCAGCTGTGAGTTACAAAGACCCAAATCGGAGGTTTTTTAAAAAATCGGTTCTCGTTTCCACTTGAAACATGAATTTCATTGGTTAGCGTTGGCTCTGGTTCAAGGATAAAATCAAAGCCTTGGATTTTCTTGGCCTCACACAGTCAATTTGTGGTCACAAGATGGGCTTTTCCACATTCAGCATTACATGAGTTCCAGGTAGGAAGACAAGGAAGTGAAAATTATAAAAGGGCAACAAATCTGTCCCACTTTAAGCAGCTTTCCTGGAAGCCCCACATAATTTCCACTTACATTTCAAACTGTCATATTATAGACAATCTGGAAATGTAGCTTTTAGCTGGGTATGTAGCTACTCCAAACAGTATCAGGTTTTGTTAGTACTTCTGCCTGTCCCATAAAAAATTCCTATTAAAAAGTATATTATCACAATCATTAAATTTTAGAAGCATTTCTTAGGAATAACATAAGGGTACCCTCTATTATTTTGCTGGAGATCCTTAGCCAGTTTAATAAAAATATGAGTAAAAACTGGAAACAAAGAAATAAAAAAACTTTATTGTCAGATGGTGTTTCTCTACATTTTTTAAAAAAAATCTACATTTAATAAGAGCTCAACAAGGTTATGACTACAAGATCAAAATACAAAATGAGTAGCATTCCTATACCATTATAACCAATTAGAAGATGTAATAAAAGCAATCTCTTATGTGACAATAACCTACAAAGTACCTAAAGGGCAGGTAGGAAATCTATCAAAAAATGTGCAAGAACTTGGGAACTACAAAATATTACTAAAAGATGAACAGTACATCAGAGTAAATGAAAAGAGTGACCCTGTTCGTGATAGGATGGATGAATACCTTAAAATTATTCTCCTCAAATTATTCTATAAATTCACTGAAATTCAGGACAAAATCCCTCATGGTTTTTCTTGGAAGCTGTTAAGTAGATCCTAAATGTTATATGGAAGAGCAAAGGCCCAATAAGAAGGTTGAAGAACAGGCCCTTTTACACATCAAGATTTATTACAAAGCTATAATAGTGTATTAATAGAGTAGGCATGGGTATGGACATTTTACACAATTCAGTACAAAAAGTACTGAATGATGCTTGTTAGACTGGTTATCAATAAAGAAAAGATAAAATTTGATCTCTGCCTTACTGTGCCCCCAAGATTACCCTCAGGCCAGATAAGTTGTTAGAAGGACTTGCAGAACTCAAAAAAGCTGTTATACTCATGGTTATAGATTGTTACAACGAAAGGATACATATTAAAAACATCAAAGGAAAGGGCAAATGGGCAAAGTCCAGAAGAGACCAGGAACAACACATGCAGCAAAGTACTGCCAACCAAGAAACCTCACCCAGCCCTTAGAGTCCAGAGTTTTTACTCAGCCATCTATTGTTGAATTCCGTCTACCCTTGTAGGACCTCTTGAAAACAATTCTTTCCATTCCTTCTTCAAGCCTTAACAGTTGCCTGAACTCTGGCCTTCCAACGGACTTCTCAGCTTTCCCTCTCAAAACTGTCTTACGAATTTTTTGCAGATTAGCCATTAACAGCACTTTCATAATGTCACTCTTATGTTAGGAACAAAACAAAAAAGAATTCAGAAGCTCTCCACTCTCTCCAAGATCAGTAGGGGGTAAGAAAAGCAGAGCTGATTTTCAGTGAATGATGAATTCTGTGGTGTAAATACCATGACAGGTGTTTAAGCTGTGGACATGATGTCAACCAGTTCTCACAAAATTCCTGAAAATTTAGCAATCAGCTCTTGCAAACCACTACAAGCTAGCTTCCACATGTCCTGTCCATGATGCACCCCAAACACTGGGCAAATCAAATCACACTGCATAGATTGTAGTTTCCCGAATAGACCAAGCTGTTTCTCCCGTCTGGAGTTATGCGCTGGCTGAATGCCCCTTTGGTCTTTTCTACTATGAACAACTACTCTTCTTTCAACTCAGCCCAAGGGCCACCTTCAGCAAAGGGTCCCTGCCCTCCAGAAAAACTGATGACCAGACACTCCTTTGTGTTTTTGTTTCTCTATGAAGACCCTGAAACATTATTTGCTGTGGCTTTGCTGTGGTTTCTCCCTACTAGATTGCAGGCGGCTAGAGATCTTGGGCTGTCTTCCACTGATCTCTGCATTCCAAGTGTGAAGTACATGACCTGACACTTGGTGTTAACTATCATTTGTTGACACATAAATAAACAGTATGTGTCCAAAAAGTGTTGTCTATTACCATCTTACTATTTTTCCCTGGGAAGACAGGGTGGTGGCTGACGTAGGTGGCTGAGCATTCCAGAAAGATAATGGCTTGCTTTATAAATGGTTTATTACTTGTCCTTTTGGGGTGGCTTGGAACTATTTGGAAGAAGACTCAAAATATAACAATTAACCTAGAGTTAAAAAGTGCCTTTTGAGCCCTAGCTGGTTTTGCTCAGAGGTTAGAGCGGTGGTTTGCGGACTGAAGGGTCCCGGGTTTGAGTCCAACCAAGGGAGGCAATCAACCAATCTATGCGTCGCTCTCACATCAACGTGTTTTCGTTTTTGTTTTTCCTCTCTCCCTCCTTTTCACTCTCTCTGAAAAGCAATGGAAAAAATACCCGTGGGTGAGGATGAAAAGAAAACGTGTTTTTTGAGGAAATATTCCACTTTGAAAGCCGTACCTAGTGTTAACTTTTTTTATTTATAATTTTTCTTAAGTAGCACTCCATTTAACAGCAGTAATATGTTTGAACACACCTCCCAGGATTTTGGTGAACCTCACAGAGGGGTGGTGTTTTTTCCCCTGGAGCCCAAAATGTTCTCTTGTATAATCAAGAGATAATCATTTTTGCTTTGTAATACACAGTTGGATTAACAGTTCAAGGAAAACTCAAAGGATATGGTGAGAATTGGAGACATGATTTCACTTATTAAGCAAACCGTAATACTGACCTGTCCCCTTGCAGGCGTGAGTTCACATGCGACGGTCCTAGCGTCTCGTGGTTGCTGTCCATGGGAGGCTCAGGGAAACAAGATAATTCGGAAGCCAATGGTGCTGACCCTTTCTTTCCACTGCAGTCCTCAGGTTCAGTATAGCTTCGGACTCGCACACACTCACGTGTACACAGATTACACAGATTCACACACATCGCGCACACGCCGCCCCTGCCAAGCCCATACCGACCACCGAATTGCGCGCCCTTGCGAGGCCTCTGAAAACACCCACGACTTCCATCCCCTTGCCCAGCCCTTAGCAGCTGCCTACCCTCGGCCCCCGAACTCACGCCTCAGCTTCCATTACTTTCTTTCCCTTCTCCAAACCATCTGCATTTTTACAGACAATGCTTCCCTAACGCCGCTTTTACGGCCCTGTGCGTGCGTGCGTGCGCGTGCGCACAAGAAAGGCGGGCTAGTTCCGGGGTCGACGCTAGTTCGGTTCCGAGTTTCCTCTCACTCCCTGAGCGCTCGACCTCCCGTCCCGGGCCGAGGGCTCC